TTCCTGCTCATGTTCCGATTCCCTCTGTTTTAATGGATCTTTAAAGAGGTCAGAGTCGATGCGTGAGCTAGGATCAATGCTATCCTGTTGCTGCTGCCTTTTCATGGAGTCATTTGACATCTGTACTTTATTGATGCGCAAAGCCGCTCTATTATCTCTGGCTTTTTGCTGGGAAAAGATTAAAAACAAAATGTAGTTAGCCTTATTTTCTTCTGCTAAGTGTGAACACTGCATCTGTTACTCCTACAAAATCTATCACCAAATTATTTGTACAGCCTGTTTTTATCACACGCATGCTTGTGAAAACTAAATTATGCACTTCAAAAGGAATTTCAAACTGAAAATACTTCATCTCTGTAGAAAGTCTGTGTTTAACATACATGGAAAGAGCTAAGGAGTTATTAGCAGTAGAGGTTTTCTATGCATTAGGAGCATCTGTTCAGGTATTGTGCTGTGCTAAGAAAGCATGAATACCACCAGGTTACCTTTCAAATCACATACTGGTGTGGTCTGCAATCTGAAGACATGAGCACAGCAGATGATGTTTCTATCAATAAAGGCCACTAACGTGGAGAACTTCAATGACAAGAAAAATAACAGTCTACTCTATTAAATAGCCTCTATAGATCTCAGTCTGTGTTAAGCTAGCAGTATAAACGTAGGATATGGGCTTATGGATCAGGAAAAATTGGATGGAAGAACAGCAATTCCTCTTCAGTGAGGCATTTTACAGCCATACTGACACTTTAAAGCATCTAACGGAAGTTTCAAAGAGTCTATTTTACCACCAATCTAGGATGTGATTCCTTTTCTGAAGCAAACCCTCACATCTTCTTTTTCACAATTTTATTTGCAGTTGTCGAGTAGGGGTTGCCTAGCAGAAAAGGCTTAAATCCTTCCCCTCCAACAATGGAACACTGACATGGATGAGAGCACGAGTGTCACAGCAGAAGAAAAATTAGTGTCATTTTCCCCTACAAATGATGGGGTTGTGTATACTAAGGAAAGTAAAAAGCCTACAGTGAAAATTTACTAACACTCCTCTGAATTTCATTTCTAAGGTAGTCTTTACTCATCCCCACAGAAGGCAAGCCCCTCAGGAGAGGTACCACAGCAGCTTCTTGTGTGCACAATGCCAGGAACACTGGCAACAGCTGAATGGCAACAGTACATGGGGTGTAACTTCTGTGAGGAAGTAACTGCTTCCTGCTATGTAAATACTCATGTGTCCATGCACTTGCATGCACCCTCCTCCTGAACATGAAGGAAATAATTTTTACAGCTGCTTTTTGGATATCCATCAGGAGAATAGGACTGCATTTGTTAAGAGCAATGAAAAAGAAAAAAATCAGTAATAAAAATAACTGTGAAGCGAAAAATGCCTGGATAAAAATCCACCCATGTAAGTGGATAGTATCTTATAAATACTATACAGAAGGAATCACCAAGATTAAATATAGCACAGACAAGATGACATAGAGGTCCAAAGGTGCTGAAGTTACAGGCCTTCCTCCCCACCCCCCCAAAAAAAGCAGAATAATGATGATGCCTCAGTGATACAAAGATGACAATACAGAATTATTCTTTCAAGTGGAAAGGGGTTCAGAAAGATCAAGAACTCCACCTCCCATCTTGAGTTTGGGGTAATGATTTATCCTCTAGAGGTTGTCAGAGAGATAAGGGGATTTTTTAATTTGGACAGTAGGAACTGTTGTTGGTACTGTTAAGCTCTGAGTCATCAACATACATGAATATCAGATTTGCTTACTAATGGGACTATATTAAAAAAGTGCAGGTGGGGAGAGGCTAAGAGACTGAGAACATAACCCTGCAAAATCCACAGAAATCTACAAAGTGAGAATGATCACCCAATTGCTGTTGTGAAGAAACAAAGAAAAGATGAGAACCAGGAGAGAATGGAGATGTGATAGGAAATTAAAAAAAAGTACATTGCTAACTATGGCTGGGAAGGTCAAAAAGAATGAATAATACAGGTTCTGAGATTTGGATATGGACAGCCTTCAACAAGAAGTTTCAACAAAGCATAAGGGTTACCCTCTGAATGGCAAAGTTCTACAGAATGAAAACAATGACTGCATAACCCCAGATTACGCTACTACAAACACGTGCTCACTTGACTCAGATGTGAAGAAGGTGAATGCTTTTGGAGAGAAAAATGGAGTCCTTCACATTCCCCACAACATGGAAGGTATCAAAAGATTTTTCCACCACAAAGCAACAGAAGAGAGTAAGTAGTGAAGGTAAACAATAAGGCAAGAACACAGGAGTAGAAGAAAACAAGGAAAGTAGGGATGGGAGCACTGACACCTCTGGAATGGTTAGTTCAACAGGTGAAATACTTCAGCAACTCTAATGGGGCAAAAAGGAAAAGACTAGTGAGAGGGGAAGATGAGAGAGGAAGGTCACACAATGATTTGTTATTATCCTTCTGAAGAAACTGGTGAGATCCTGTGCAGAAAGAGACAGAGCAAATAAGACTTGAGGCATGAATCAAATGTAGCAAAGAGGCAGTGGGAACCACAAATGTTCTCGTCTCAGCTGATGTCTTTAGATTGCACAAGACTAACATAGTTTATTCCAAGGCTGAAAAGCAAAGAAAACAGGTAAAAGTATTCAGAGTTAGAAGTTGAATTACAAAAGCATTCTTGGAGTAAGTGAACTTTCACTAATCCTCGAACTTAATTTAAAAAAAAAAAAAAATAACTGAAAACCTTATAGATGAAACACATGTTTGCCGGAAGCAGGGAATGCAGGTGGTAGTTGTTCTTACCACATACGGGGCCCTCTCCTGTGAGCTTGCTTTCCTCCACAGTTTAGCAATCTGCTTCACTCTTGTAGCCCAGTCTGCAACCAAAAAAATGTGTTAATATGCAAGGCTTTGATAAATCTTATTTTACATTCTTTCAAATCAAGATGCATAAATTGCTACAAAATATTTAACTTTATTCAGTAAATCACTGACCTGGGAATTCTTCCTTTAGGTTAGGGAAGTTGATATTTGTATACAGAACAGGTGCTACTGTTGCCATTTCACCCAAAGCTTCTTCTTTTTCCCACTTAAGAGTGCTCCTTTGAGCATTGGACATTGTATCGCCTTCACCTTCCAAAGGTGGAGCAGATGGTGCCCATGAGCTGTTTGGATCACTTACGATTGGATTGAACGCTGGATTCTTATCCCTGACAAATCAAAAAAGGATTTTCTTTTATAGGTAGATGCTCTCAATATATATATATAAAAAAAAGTAAAGTACTTATTTTGTTTGCTGTTTCAGCAGTGAACAGGCTGCAAGAATACAGAAGTTTTTGTAGTGGCTGTCAAGAACTAAGTAGTTAAATACTAATAAAATCACAGTATTAATAACACCACCACCCTCCAAGTGATAAATGATAAAAAATGGGTATTTTTTGTTTCCCATCTTGACTTACCTGGTATCAGTATACGGTTGCTGTGTAATGGGAGAGAAAGTGCCCAGTCCACCTCCAGCAGTCAAAGCTGTATGAGGGAGATGAGGGTTAGGGCCAATCAGACCATTCATAAGGGGCACTCTTGGAAATGCATTCTCTCCTGGAAAGAAGAAGTTTAAATTACTTTTTAAAGGGTGACAACTTGTAAGGTAGAGGTGGAAATTTTCAGAGAAAAAAATGATGTCTCATCTAATGAAAATCTAATTGCTTTAAAATTTCATAGTACCAACCTTACATTTCTGGAGAAGATTTTAAATCAGTTTACACTGCTTCCCTACAAGCTTAAGGGGTTCTTTTCTACTGTATCACATCCCTGCACAGTTTTTTTTTTCCTTGTCTGAAAAATATTTTTTTTTAAAACAGATTTCCAAAACTTTTGCAATAGCCCGTGCTATGGTACTGCACTTCATACTGAGGTATATTCTTAAAGGCTAATGGTCTGTCATATTTATTATACCCAGATCCAAGCAGCAAGTATGGATAAGGTTGCTTTCGGTCATTGCAGAATTATCATTAGGCCAACCTGAATGAAAGATCTCCTCTTCTGAGACTTCTGAGCAGTGTACCAAAGCAAGCCTCATTATCTACTAACTCCCTAACTTGTAACCAATGAAACAGATAAATCTAGTCAAACAAGCATCAGCATTTTCTAATTAAACATCCAGCCTAGCAGTACAAAACCAGAAAATTTTAGTTATTTGATTACAATATTAGGCAAATGTGGCACAGGCAGATTCATTCCAGCAGATGGTCTTTGCAGATGTTCCTACACAGAATTAACACTGGCCTTTGAATCCCTGTCACTTAAGCGTGATTATAACTGTTGTCTCAGTATTTTCTTAAAGCATAGAAGTAGCACAGGAATTAGATGCATCTGTAGGATGACACTGTATCATTCTCTCATGCTTTAGGAGACTGTCTTCTGATCTATAGGTTAGATACACTATGCAGGAAGTATAGTTTGGATGAAAGTGACTCAAAATTTAAGAGAACATGCTCTATTATAGCTGCTAAACAGATAGTATGCGGTAACTGTGAAGACCTGGCAAACAAGGATAGAGCCAGGCCTCTGGTTTGCACTGCAGGATCACGTCGTCATGAGAAGAGAGCATTAATTTTATTTGAAATTGCTGAAACTTGATGCAAGCTTCCCCATTACTGAAGCATTTATCTCACAGAAACATGTGGATCATTATACCGTAACTGAACCAAATTATAAATCGAAAACATTGTAATTGTGGCAGTTCCCACAGGGAGAAGTTAAACAATCTTACAGAGCTCAAATGCTGAAGTTATCTCCAAGTACTCAAGTAACTGGGAAACAGGCAATGATATCTATATTATCTTTTGCTTTAAATCACCTCATTATTTGCTTTAAATTTTCTCCTTTCTAAGACTTTTTGAAGTCTTTCCTTTCTATGGAAATTCATCCAACTAGGAAACCAATCGTTTTCCTTCTTATGATTAATTCACTGGTGAAATCAATTTGCATACTACTTTTTGTAGTACCAGGATAACAGAATGGGCACTCTTTACATGAGCTCAGGGAAAATCCACTAGAGGTGATGTCTGATGAAAAAAGCCTGCATTTAATTATGCTCATACATACTGTTAGGGAAAAAAAAAAAAAAGCTGTACTGGTAAAATAAAGAAAATAAAAAAAATACAATCTATCTGCCCCTTGCTTTCAATATAAGAGCAAGAATATGCTGTATCAACTCATGGTAATTTTAGTAGTAACAAAGAAAATAAATTATAATCTCCCAGATACATTTCAAAATTACTTAGCCTTCTCTGTATTATTTGGATAGGATTAGTTAACATGTTAAACTGAATTCTTAAAGGAAATTAAGATGCAGTAAATCACTTTTATACAGACTCTTTCCTTACCCTTGAGGAGGTACTCAGAAGTAATTAAAGAGTAAAGTCAGAAGAGAACACATGCTTTATCACAGACAAATTTAAAGAACATGAAAGTGTCAGCTAAAATAAAAGCTCCAATATGTCAGAAAAATCTAAAATAAGTGTCCCTTTCTATTAGCAATATTTACATGCATGTTAATCACATCCCCCCTTCAGAACAGTTTTAGAACAGTATTTCATAAATTAACAATGGCAGATTCCACAAATTAACGATAGCAGAAAGTAAGATGTGTCCTATTTTCACATCAGTACTTAAAAGAACTCCCCTGACCAGGCTGCTGTTTTTAAAAGTAACAAAGGAACATACCTTGACTGTGCAAAGACATGAGTTGTGGTGGAGGTGGAGGCTGTGGCAAAGGAGCTGGCTGCGTGGTTGCTGGACTTAATACAGCTGTGAACAAATCTTCAACATCCTTTCCTCCTAGCTCTGCAAAAACGCTGTGCATGAGTTGGCTGGCATTGTTTATAAACTAAATTTTATAAAAGACAACAAAGATTAGAGCACGTACCTGGGATTTTGTACAATTTGCCAAGAATAGCACCTGGACAAAGTAAAGACAACAGAGAATAAGTAATCATCAAAAGATGCAATAAAATTTATTCTGCAACCAAGTTCAAATAGGTATGTTACAACACATAGATAGTAATTTGAGAAAAAAAGAGAAGATTTCTACTTAAGTTTTCTCGAAGACCAAGATCAAGGACAAAAGAATTACCATCTGTGACCATTTTGTCTAGTTCTGGACTCAGGATTCCATCCAACTGTTCTTCACTCAATGGCCGTGAACTCTGGTTGACATTTGGCTGAGGCAGAGAAGAAGGATCATCAGAGATGGGACCAATATCCAATCCAGCTGAGGGAAGAATGAATATTAAGTTAGACATAAATAGTGAAATTTATTGGTATAGAATAAAGAGCATAAAACTTTTTTTTTTCCGCTAGAGCTTAGCTATCAACTAAACCAAGACTTTCTAACATTTGAAAGGTAAGGCAAAATAAGACATTAATTAGAAAAAGTAAACAAAACCGCTCACTATTTACCTCCGGTTTACTATATTGTTTGAGGAATGTTAATTGACTAGAATTCAACTGGAAGAATGGGAAATTTTTGTTGAAGTAAGACTACTGAGCTTAGGTACAGCATATTTTAGAATCTATAGTTTTCAGTATACAGGTTCCACTATAACTGTTTTTCACATTTTAAAAACAATCACACCAGTAGTCAATATGGTTCATCCTCATGTACCTGAAGGTTCACCCCAATTGTTTTAATAATATTACATTAAATATCTACTGAAGTGCTGTTGAAGTGTAGCCAATATCAAACAAGTTATAGCAGTTTCTGTTTCAAAAACAACGACTGAATATTCTGGGTTACATCAGACAAAGTGATTTGTTGGTACTGAGAAAACATAACTTGATGCATAAATTTCCTAACATCCTTTACAAGTCAATAAATCTCTCAAATGAGAAAGATCTTTGAAAAAAAGAACTATACACTTCAGAATTTAAAATATATTTCTGTACTAGATACCAAATAAAAACAAATTTAAAACAATGAAACGTGCCACTCTTCTTATTGTCAGCCTGTATCTTACATAAAGTGATGAATCATCATCCAGTGGAAACAAAGAGATTTGATGCTGACTGCTTTATTCATGCTTTAATAGATACACATTGTTATAATGCTTTTAATTTACAAAAGATATCACTATGATAAAAACTACAAACTACTACTAGAAGTAATATTAACAGTGACAGCAAGAAAATGCATGGGTTTGTATCATGAAACACAACAACTCAGGAAGGTTTTCAAAAGCTTGTAAGCAAAACTCTATGCAGTACTCTTAAATGCGGAGTGCAGAGTTTATAGCTCGTGTTAGACTCAAACACCACAGAAAGCGTGGAAAATGAAAGCATGAATTAGTGACACAGTAAAGGAGTACTAGTTTCTACACATGCAGTTCTTTCAGCTAAAACCACTAGGAAAGATGACTACTTCTAGCCATGGATCATCCATTGTTTAGTTTCTTACCAAATGGGGAGGGTGAGTTCTCAACCTGGAAAGTGCATAAATCAAGACCTACAGGACCCAAACCAGATAAAATGGATGATTATAACACGAAAACAAAAAAAAGTAAAGAAAAAGCTGCATGCTGAAAAAAGCTACGCAGGTATGATAGACAACGGCAGCTACATTTTATTCTCTCTTAAGCAGCAAAGCAAAGAGCCAAGTAAAACAAAATGTTGAAAAGGCTGGGGATTTTTTTTTTGGTAGAAGACAACAAAATAATCTCAAACCAAGGTATTCTTAAGATACGAAAATCATATTTGAAATCAGCTAGAGCACAACCTATAGATACAATACAACAAGTACATCTATAAAATAAAAGAGAATAAAAGAAAACAAGTACTGGAGAGACCTTATAAACATGCATACCTGAATGATCTCCAGACTTTACCAAATCATCAGAAAGTATTCCAAGAATATCATCATCAGTATTTAAGACCTCAGAAAGGTCGGCTAAAGGATCGTCGGTGCTACCTGTATAAGATGCAATAAACAAAATCAACCAGTCATGGCATTTATACACGACTCTGGTGATGCACCTTAGCTTGAGCTATAAACTCAGACACAAGATTTACCAGGCTATAAGGGCCTTCTATAGAGTGTTACATACTGCAAGTCACCCTGGGGCAAGAGACTGTGCTGACTAGCATCCCCTCCCAGCCAGCACTGTACCCATCTTCACACACTTACATTGTTTAGTATTTTCTCCAATATAGTAAAAGTGATAATGTAATCAGTCATGTGGAAGAAAGATTGGACGGTTTTACGGGGAAAAACCCCCCAACCCCAGGATCTAGGGAGATCTTGCAGCCTCTAAGATACAAAGGCCTATGAATTTAAAAGTCAACAAATAGGTTTTATAAAGGACACAGCTCACAGCAAATCAACAGGGAATATTTAAAACAACAAAAAAACCCCAAAAGGTAAGAAAATGACCAGTTACATCTCTGTCCTGGTTTCAGCTGGAATACAGTTAATTTTCTTCCCAGTAGCAGGCATAGTGCTGTGTTTTGGATTTAGTAGGAGAAGAATATTGATAACACACTGTTGTTTTTAGTTGTTGCTAAGTACTGCTTATGCTCCTCAAGGACTTTTCAGCTTCTCATGCTCTGCCAGGTACACAAGAAACTGGGAGAGGGCACAGCCAGAATAGTTGATCCAAACTGA